TTAATGGGGATTAAAATCAGATTTTAGTAGATTTTGTTAAATATTTGATGAAATGTGTGGTTGAAAAGTTATTGATCCTATAAAATGTGTGGTTAAAATTAATTGTTGACTTTGACTTACATTAAAATCTCTATCAAATAAGGGCATAGTCTTAGTAGTGGATAAGGCTATCTTGGATATTAATTTGTTATATGTGCCATTTGCTGATGTAACTGATATATTTTATGTTGCAGAATGGGGACACAAGGAAGCTATACTCTTACGTGAAAGAGTTCATGTATGCTTTTTGAGACTTTTTACTTTCGGGTTCAGGGATTTACATTTTTATACTTAAGACGCTACCTGTGGATTTTTGACCAAGCACACAGGGTCCATGCCTTCTTGGGGCCAACCATCAAAGCTTCAATTTTGTCAAAATGTTTTCTGGAGGATTTTTCTGAAAGTTAACTTTATATACATTGTACCTTTTTTGATATTCTCGATCACCCTATTTATTTTCTGGCGTGATGTAATACTTTACAGGAAACATCGAAGGTGAAAGAACAGGCTTTTGAGCGTGTTAGAAGTCTTGAAGAAGATGTGGCGAACTTGAGGTAAGTACAACTTTTTCTCTTGGATTTTCTTGAAAAAGGGTTGACAATAGTATGGGAATGATGCAGAACATAATAGAGAAGAAGAATTTGGGGAGAGAACTTGGGAGGAGGAAAATTTCTCTAGACTGGAACCCTAGTTCCCATTTTGTAGTTGTGAAGAACTTAAATTCAGGACCTTCTAATACTTTACAAGTATATCAAAATATCGAAGACAATCTAATCTAATCTTATCTAATAGAAACAAAATCTGAAAAATCTAAATTATTTTTTATTTTTCCTATAACGTACTTGTTAATATCCCGTTCTCAGTTCCTATTGGGTAAACATACTTTTTCCCCTTGTTCTCTTGAAGATTTGAAAAATAAACATAAATGTGTTGTTTTCCTGGTTTTGTGGTTATTTGTTATTCCCTGTACATTTTTGTTTCTTGCCCCCGCTTCTCACATATTGCACAAAGGGTTTTGACATTTTGTGGTATTGAAACCTGTGAGATCTCTGTATTTAGTAGTCACTTGTAATGCCCTCTTCCTTCCATTTTATTGATGCTAGGCTGGAGAAGTTAAAATAGAGCTCCAATTATTATTTGCTGGCTTTCATATCGAACGAGTCACTTCCTTATAATGATGCTGGATCCTCAAAAGATGCATAAAATTTAAAACTATATTCTGGACTAGAATAAAAAATGTAGAATTTATTATTTATATGGTTTGTCAAAATACATCCAGGGGATAACTTATGTTTCTGCGTTTTCCTTGAATTCTTTCATTTGGTTTTAACTCCCCATAAAGGTGGTTGTTTTTTAATAGTCAAGTGTCAATATTCACGAGTCCTATTTAATCATTGGTTAACTGAAATTTACTATCAGAATGTTGCGGATTCAACAATTCTTTCTGGTATAAATGATGGAAGTCCATAAAACTTTGTCAGCCTGCAGATCTATAGTACACATTTCAACTATCATTTATAGAGTAGGAGGTGGCAGCTTTTGTTAACAATCTTCGGACCCAAACCCTATCCACAACTCAATCAAGAGAATGTGTAGGATCAATTGAGAACAAGTAGGTCTCGGGCTTTGAAATCAGACAATTTTTTATTTTATTTGGTTGTTACACATCTTTTTGTGACAAGATGGTTACTCCACATTTCCTTCTTCATAGCTTGAATTGGACCTATGATTCTTAGACATGTTTGTCCCATGGCCATTACATCTATCTTTCTTGTTGTTTAGTATTTGCTTTGACACTGATACCACTGAGGGCCATGTAGTGCAATTCTATAGTGGACTTGAATTATCATCTTAANTAGTGGACTTGAATTATCATCTTAAGACAACATTCAGGACAAGGAATTGACATTTTGATATTGATGTTCCATAGAACAAAGAGATAATGAAGTATATTACATTAATACGCTAGGTAGGCAGATACGTTCCACAATAAATTTGGATGGAACTATTATTGATATTCAACGAAGATGATTAACTGACAGGATTATTGTTGGATGATAAACGTAGTGGCAGGGTTATGATCAACTAGCATGGTTGGATATTTGATTAACATGTAGTGGAGTATACTGAAGTGCTAGTTTGGCTATTAAATTTTGTTTAATGGGGACTAAAAAGTCGTCACAAGTCTTTAAAGATGTGGTTGGAGACTTAGTTATGAGATGAGCATACTTAATATACTTTTAACTTTGTATTTAGAATGTCAATGTTGTATTCTTTTAGGCACTTAAGCATAGGCATGGCTCTTCGAGGATCGAGGCGTATGTAATATTGAATTTTCTGCAAAAATGCTGTTGGAATTCTGCATTAGGCACACAACCCTCTTTGAATTCCAACCTCACGGATGTTTATAAAGGGATATTTAGCAGCTTTATTTTATTCACTACTGAGTTTTCTGCATTTATTTTTCTATCCAGGAGAGAAATCATTTCCTTGCGATCCGAGCGTGATAAGTTAGGACTAGAAGCACGATTTG